GCGCCCTTTCCCCTCCTCTCTAGCCAGAAAACACCTCTCACACTCTCTACAGCTCGCCTCCGCCCATCAGAGGGCCACCACCTCATTACGTTTCCTTTTTATTGTTACAGCTGTTGAAATAGAAAATGTTATCACATCGTCAAATACGGCACTTTGCAGAACCTCGAAGAGCTCTGTGGAGACGAGGGGTAGGGAGGAGAAGCTGCTCCTTGTTCACCTACTGTAAGCCGTGATCGGCGTCTCACACAAACCTCCCCCTCCCGCACAGCCGATCATCACTCCAGACGTCATCGTATTAATCTCTTCTTCTTCTTCCTGGAGGAAAAAAAAGGGGAAATGACAGATTTTGTGCAATTCTTTTCAAATACACTACATTCCAACCTTCCTTAGACATGGTTTTAATATACTAATGGATATAGATGAATATAATTATATACAGTATCTATGTTTGTTAATGTTTACAGACAGATTCTCTCACTTCATCTCGGTGAGTGGTTGTATTATGTTTGTTTGTTTAGGTGTTAAACATTACGCAGACCTCCTTGTGAAAATAGTCCTATTAAGGTGAAATATAATGGTATATAGTGTAATGGTATGACATTACAGAAGTACTTGTGATTTTCATATTGCCAGTCTCACTCGCCATTGTGTACATAATTGGCTCATAATATTGTAAAGTACATAAAGATCAGGAGGGACGGAGCCTCGCCTCTCTGGTTGTTCCTGGAAGAAGGAAACGCTTTTTTAAAACAACTACACAGATCCTTTTTATTTAGTTTTTTCGATAAAGTTCGGTCCCCTCATTTCCTCCGAGCAGTTACTGTTATTTGTATTGTAGATGGAGGGGCTCAGCTTGTGATCACTGGTGCTGCCTAAGTATTGTTATCAGCCTTAAGCTTGATTCTGGCTGTAGAAAGTCCCAGAGTGCAGTCCATTTCAGTAACGTGGTGTACTGTGTCCGCTTCGATGCTTATTTTTTTGTTTTCGTTTCTGTTTTTTATTTTGCCAAACTTTTCTGAAAAAGCACTTTTACACAGCTTGTCGCTACACAATTTAGCTAGGTCATACATATACAGAAATGTATATCAAAAGAACATAAGACAAGTGTTTCAAAATGGATACCTCTTCTTCTTGTAGTAACGTCGGAATTAAAACTGTGTTGTAACTTTTTTTCCTCGGTCAGAAACGTTGTGAGTTGCTGGAAAGGGTTTTTTGAAGTTTTTGAGCAGAGTGGCCTAAATGATGCTGCTTTCTTTTGGCACAAGTAGAAAAGACTGCCAGCCCGGCTTTGGACAGAAATCGACGGTGTCCGTGAGAGGCACTTTTACAATTCCCACCTGGAAAACATCCTAAAGGCTGGCTGTTATCTAGAGACGTAAGTCCGGTCCAGTACGATGTACAAATACAAACTTCTGTACAGTGTTTCTAAATCTCTCATCTGTCAAATCAAAATGTTTTGTATTTATTGCACCACATTTTATACCAGTTTCATTTTCAATCACCAGTGCAGTACTTTGTCTCGCTCTCGACCACGGTGTAAGTGAAATAGACTATTTAAAAAAAAACATGGGGAGTTTTACATTATATATCTGTGTTTGATCATTGCATATGTTCTCTGTTATTTTACATTTGGTGTAATGATTCCACACTTTTGGTAACAGCCGCTGCTCATCGCCCTGTACTCACTGTAATTAGTGTTAAAAGCAGTGTGAAGCAGTTAAATATAGGAATGTCAAGTTTCAGTTCAGTTTGTGTGTTCTTTAAAGCCTGGACTTAAGGAACGGTAAACTTGATCACAGCCTTTTGCTTGTGATTCTGTTTGTTGTATGTTCTGCCCTTAATACTCTTTATTTTCTCTTAAGCCTCCCGACGAGCCACAGGGAGAAACTGCTAATTGATCTAAAACATTTCAGTTCATTCAGAGTCTTCTCGAGTGCAGGGAGTTTATTCACTCAGTCTCCAGTTTATTTGTCATAGAGGTTAAAATAATAGTCTTACACAACTGTCAATGCAATAAATCTACCTTCATGCACATTATAATGTTCAGTTTGTGTTAAAAGCCAGTTTATAAAGGTGTTGATTAAACTGAATGATCCTTTTGGAAGATATCGTTTGTGCTAATGTTGAATGTTTAGTTTTACTCACTGGTGTTTGTAATAGGTCTTCTACTCTCATTTATACAAACCTAAAGGAAACACAAAAGGAAATGACACTTCTCTGTATAATGCAATACGGTTTAACAGCATCATTCAAAAATGATCCCATTATCTATTCAACATCTCGTAAAAGGTTTTTAACAACAACGGAACATTATAACCTTTATGAAGCTGGGGTTTATTGCATTGACCGTTGTATTCGACTGCATTAGTTTTATCTCTGTGTGCCTAATCGTGTGAGTGCCAATTGTGAGGAAAAAAGACGAAGGAAAGGCTGAATAGGGAGCCATTGAATGCAGAACAATGAGACAATTATAAACATGATCTATGCTAGAAATATGATATTTCAAAAGATTTGTTTTTCTACATATTTAATTCTACACAGTGAAGGTCAAACACTTAAGTACCATTTAGCAAAACACATGTTTGAGTTTAGAAGGACTTTACTATGCTAAATATATGCAAATAATTCATTACACATAGGCACTTATCTTGGGAAAAAAGCACATTAAAAAAAAGCTCAGACTTCCTTCCTGCATCTTCAATGCCTTTAAATGACCATGTGTTACATTTATATTCAAATTCTCTCCCTCTTCTGCATTCAACCGCTGCTTTTCTTTTGTCTTCCTGTTATTATTGACCCTTTTTAGGAAGCCTTTTTTTGTCAATTTCTGAGAAAGAGATTAAACTTGCTTATTACTTGCTGGTCCTAAATGTGAGAGGGATGCATTTTTGTTTAGTTGTCAGTCATAGGAAATGGTCCAAATGTTCAGTATCAGGTTGGTGCGTCATTAGGCTCACTTAATTTAATAACTCAAATCGGTCTGTGTGTCTAAACTTGAATATCCTTTTTATTTATTGATGCATTTTATTTTTCTGTTTTATATTCAGAACGCAGGCATCCTTGACTTTTGTGTTTGTGTCTTCAGAGAAAATGTCTGACTGATAAGTTGTGATTATATAACTGGTCTTAAAGCCCTTTTTATTTTCAAAGTGACAGTTCAGTTGATGGCATGCTTCAAACATCAGACACTGGTTTAATCCACTTCAGTTGGAACATCTTTAAATGCCTGATTTGAATAGCTAACGTTTTGTTTTTCTGTTCCTTTATTTGTTTTGTACCATGTTGCACAGCGCAACAGCCTTTCTTTGTTTGCACCTGCAGATCGCACGATCATAATTACTTTGTGCCAGTTTGTCTCTTCTGCCCTCTGAGCTGACGCAGCAGTGTTACCGTTGCTCCACTAGTGTCCCAGCGCGCATCGTTTCATTCACTTAAAATAATCTCTGAAGTTTTGTTGGTTTATCGTCATAGTAGTGCCCACATTAGTTTTTTTAAAGAGATAGCATGTTTGTCTGATTTAGGTGGACCCTTAATACGCCTGAAAGGATTTTTCTAAGTGTCCAGGATTGATATTATTTTTGTATACACTTACATTTAAGATGCCCCCACTTGTATGTCAAAGGCTATGTTTCAGTTCACTGTGGCGTCTTTTGTTTTTTTGTGCAATGTTGCCGACTTTCTCTTTTAATTGACATGCTGTCGAAGGAGAAAATAGTGTTTGAATAAATAATAAAATCACTTTCATAAGCACTCATCTCTTTTTTACTTGTAGTAAAATTACTTACGGTAACTCTAACTGGGGTCATATCTATCTCTCTTGGTGTTGCTTCAATACAAATGTGGATGAACACAAAATACCATGTTGATTACTGTTCGACCTGTGTTACTGCATACTGCATATTGTTGAAGAACTTGTAAATAGTTTGCATTGAACTTGCATAGAATCATGTTACTGTGGCGTGCTCTTTTTGCCTGTACAATTCTGCTTCTAAATGTGTGTGACTGTTGAGACGACACTCTTTTTGTACATGACTGTCTTTTTATTTGAGAATATTGATTCTGTCCTTTTTCATTCTAAAGTTGAGTTTGAAGAGTTCAGACATGCCTGAAGTTTGACTTTAATAAAGCTGTACTCTGTCTCAGTGAACACTCTCACTTTATGGGATGTATTTCAACTACTTTAAAAAGAAAACAAGATAAATCGAGATAATGTTGCCTTCATGCTTAGTGGAAAAAAAACAATTCAACATCATTATGTGTGTAAATGGTAAGGGATTTGCCTTAATAGAGTACTACCTAAGCTAAAAGTATATAATTCATTAATTTATACTGTGAAGTTAGCCTACAGCACATTCACAAATGCGTGATAATCAGAATAAAGTCACTTCAAACAGCATCACTTTGTGAACCCATAGGAAGGAACGTTTCATTTATTAAAAATGGTATTATTTATGCAGGGCTGAGTGTAACGTGACGTGGCTTTTGCCTCCAAAGGTCAAGTTGGATATTTTCCATAGACTGTATGATATTTTCCCACATGACCATTTCCGGTTTACATAGAACAACAGATGTCATACATGTGCGAGCCACTCTATCTGTCTAGTGTTAAGTCACTCATTTAAGAAGAGTTATGGAAATGGAATCAAAACCGACTTAAACTTAAGTTAATTAATTTACTTCAAAGTAAGTTGTACTGATTGTATTTTAAATAATTTTCATAAAGAAGCCTCTACTTAAAATAAATAGAAACGTATTATCCTAATAGACACAGACGTTTCAATTAATGTAATTAGCTTTGGTTTCTGCTTGTTATAAGATAACTATCCTTTTATAATTGATGTGCTGCATTGCATTTTCTCTGTAATCACACTTCGTCCTATATTGATATAACAAATAGTATGATGTGTACAATATCTCCAAAAGTAATGAGTTTTTCCTGAATGACACGTTTTTACATTGAAATACATAATTTTATTTTTGAAAAGCCCAAACCAGAAGTAGTTCAGATGTATCGGTTAGCTTCACTGTTCTCCTCCGGTGCATCCCTGAATTTCTCCAATGTGCCACTTCCACCAGCCGCAGAAACAGAGGATGCGGAGGCATGATTCACGTTAACGGCACTCGTTGATATGAGGAGGAAGAGATAAAATAACGAGCTGTTAAAGGTTAGTAACGGAGACGATATCCGCTTTTTTGACAATGCGGAAATGGGCCAGATGCTTCTTTGACAGATGTTGCTAGCTAGCTTAGCATACTCTGCTAACATATTTTTTCACATCACAAAGACACTAAATGTTTTTTTTCTTTTCTTGGTATTGACAAAAGCCGTTCATTTAATATTTGTATTGTATTATAAAACTGGTTTTATGTTATATGCAGGTAAATAACAGCTTTAAAATGTGTGTGTATCACCTGGAAGAGGAGGGCACAGGTGCAGCATGATGGCCTGTATATCAGGTTTACACAGAGCAGAGGCTATAACCTGCTGTGAAACAACATCATCTTTACATATATATTACCAGATGTATACTCAAAGTAGAAAGACAAATATATATTTTTAAATGTTTAAGTCTTTGTTATTTATTTTTTTGTAAAGTGTTTAAGGGACAAGGGTCAATAACAACTGCTGATGAAAGAGTGAAAAGCCCCTTCAAAAAATGTATAAATGTCTCTAGGCTGTGGTTTGAAATCTAGTAATGTAAACAAAACAAAAGGAATTGTATGATAAAACATTTGATATAAGGATATAATTCAGTCAACAATGATGAAAATCATCTTACATAGAAATCTGACACAAATAATAGCTATAGGCCTACCATTATTCAACCCTTGAATACAAAAATGGGTAATTTCTCAGGGTTTAGTTTTGCAGACTAGATGAGAGACACAACATCATCCTAGAATAATCACTATGAGTATCACGGAGATATCAGATGAGATAGTCCTTCAATGAACTAAAAGCGGTGGAGGACCGTTTCTTAGAAAAGTTACTGTACTCTATTCCTCAGATGGTTATATGGAGCAGATGTTTGTACTATTAAATGGACGTGTTTACATGTGACAAAGTAAATGGTGTACACACGGTCTCTTCACTAATGAAAAAAAATGCTCACCCCTCATTAAGGCACCAAACTAAAACTCAGCTCTTCTTTTTTTGCAGATAAGAAATATGAAAGTAGAGTGAGGATGTTTGCTGTTGACTGAAGTCCACTCCAAGAAACAAAATGAAGAGGAGGTTGCTTCGTGGTTTCCTGTCGGAAGTCTCCGTCCGGATTGTGCTGCTTCTCGTGTTCCTGTAAGTATATGCAACATTAAATCACTTGCATCATTGCTTTATCTATCTATTATGGAAAAGGCAGGCGTGGTTTTGAATGATGATAAAACAATCACAGCTCTCTTTGTGTTTGTCTAGTGTGACGGAGCAGCTTCCTCCTTTTTACCGTGAGATCCAGCCAGAGGAGATGTGGCTGTATAAATTCCATCGTGTGGAGAGAGACCACGTACCCACCTCTCTTATGTTTGTACGTTTTATGCCTGCATGCCTCTGAGTTAAATGTAACAAAATATAAACGCTTCAGCTCAGTTTTTCCACCTTACCCTCTCCTTCACAACAATCAGAATATCTGATGTCCCTTTCCTGCTCTCACTCGATGATGGAACCATACCAATGTTTATTTGTAGCACTTTGATCACAGTTTTTCTCCAAATGAAATCATGTTTTTAAATGAATTACCTATCTTCAGGGACATGCCTTCAGATGAGGTAATATACCATAGTGAATATCACTTGTTTTATTTGTGATTGTGTCATTGTGGGATAAAGCACAATGCAGTATTTCATGCTCACAGTATTGTCGTAGATTTTACTTTATTCTAAAAAGTAAGTATCTGCAAGTTGCTTTTCTTTCTGTAGTGAAATAAACAGAAACCTACAGCTGCCTGAAAAGTCATTTGTAGTCAAAAACAAGAACGAACACTGAGAAAGTCACTTTTTAAGAGGAAGTGCAAAGCAGCAATCAAAGGAAGAAGTTTGTCGTTATTTTTAATAACCTACACACATACATTCATTTGTATTATCGTTGTTATACTCTCCTCCTTCTCTTAGAGTGTGGCAGTTTTCACCCCACTGATTGTAATCCTGGTTTTCACCTTCCTGAATAAGTCCGAGCGAGGAGATCTGAAGGAGGCCTCGCTGGGTAATTAAGCTGCATACACACATTTCATTTCTCATATTAAATCTAAAATGTCAACTAATGTTTTGGCCTTTTTTATGACTGTGTTTTTCTCATCATCCAGCTGTGACTTTGACTCTGGTGCTCAACGGAGTTTTCACCAACATCATCAAACTTGTAGTTGGCAGGTGAATATTAACACAAACACAGCAGTTGATAATAAATGTCAGTGTCACAGTGAATAAAACCCTCACCTCTCTGTGTTAACAGGCCTCGGCCAGACTTCTTCTATCGCTGTTTCCCAGACGGTCAGATGAACCTGGAGTGGCGCTGCAGCGGTGACCCAGATGTGGTCATGCAGGGCAGGAAGAGCTTTCCCAGCGGCCATTCTTCCTGTAAGGGCCTTTTGTGGTTGATTATGCCTCAGTAGCTTGTTCATATTCAGCAGGCAACAAGAAAAAACAACAATTTCACAGAGTGGGGCAGAAGGGCTTATTGTATATATCTAAAACGAGTATATATGTAAGTGTATTTTAGCCTCTAGGCTCTTATTTGGCTATCTGAGAAAGATGTTACTCTAAGCGACAGCATAGTAACAATACTGTTGAGTTTTTCAAATGTTTTTTTGGCACTTTGAGCACCACAAGCTGAGTGCCATGTGGTTTCCCTTTATTGGAGAGAAAGCAGACATCTCTGGCGACAATATCTCCAACACTCTGCAACTCACACCAACACAATCTAGATTATAAAAAGCACTACAGGTCAGGGATATCAGAAAAAAACTGCTGTTTTCTCTTCAAGTTCTCTCTGTTATTGTAAGACGTCCTCTGGTTCTGATCATCCTTTCTATTTTTTCTCCCCGGCCCCAGTTGCCTTTGCAGGTCTGGGTTTCACCGCGCTGTACGTGGCAGGAAAGCTGCGCTGCTTCACTGCGGCGGGCCAAGGCAGAGCGTGGCGGCTGTGTGCCTTCCTCACACCTCTACTCTTCGCCACGGTGATCGCCCTCTCCAGAACCTGCGACTACAAACACCACTGGCAAGGTCAGAGTCTCAGAATGACACAAGCATCATGTAAAAAACAAAAGCATTTCCATTACATCGGTGGCAGTAGCAGAAGATTTTGGTTTGGAGGGACACAGGAGAGGGGATGCGTGAAAAAGGAAAACCAATTCACTGGTAGGGAAAGCTGGCATATGACAAATTTACAACAACCTGTACAGCGGTTTTAATCTCTCCACTCATCCACGCTTTTGTCTTTACATAATGTATACACATTTGTATATTCAGTTCTGTCCATATAGTATAGACTCTCTTGCAAGCAGAAAAAAGGAAACCAGAGTATTCATCTGTAAAACCTCAACTAAATAGCTCTTATAACAACACATTGTATTATGGCAAGTATTAAAAGGAATGTCAAGGTATATTAGTGGCATTTCCATGTTTACTGTCCGTATTGTGTTCTCATTGTTTTTAGATTTATGGAGCCTCGCTGTCGTTAAGATGTGCGTTTTTTTATAGCCGTTCCAAACACACTAAGATCATGTATGCCCTCGACCTCTCTCTCACAATAGGCAGCCTGTATAAACATTTGCTGCTCATTCAGTCCTCTGCATACAACAACACTGAGCTGTGCGTCCTGTGCTTCTTCTCACAAATGTAACTCCCTCCACCTCCCCAAGTTGGTATCGTTAGCTCTGCTTTCAACAAAACAACCAGATTGCTTTCTCTTTTTTCTTTGGGCCTACGACTCGCTACAAATTTGGTGACTTATTGACACTGTCAGAGGAAACTCAAAAACGATATTCAAATATATTAAACTGCAATTTATCTCCAATACTGCTCGAGTATATCTTTCCAGGGCATCTTCTCCCAGCACCATGGGGTCTCTTCATCTCCTCTTGGGCCATGTGCAGGCAATCTCTCCATCAACAACACAACCACTAAGATTTGCGCAAATGTATTGTCCAGTGATGTTGCCATTATCTAAATGAACTTATAAGCGATGATGGCTACTTTAAGAGCTAGTGCTAGCTTGCTGCATTGGAAAAGAGATGTAAACACTGCAGAGTACTCACGGCTGTCAGCCGTAAATCGAGCCTTCATTTTCCGAGTGATCCTAACTGGTGGCCGACAATATTGTACTAGTATAAGCCAGGCTGATGGAGAACCAGACTAAAGACTGATAATCACATTATTCTATAATATTATATTGTGCAATCAACATTTACTTTATTATTATAGTTTAAGGCAAAATAGTTTTCTATCGCCAATTTAGTGAGCCGCAGATCTAAGATGATCATTACCAATGACCGCTTCTCTGTAAATGTGCATATGACCATAAATGAAAAAGCTTTAAAGCTAACCCTAACCCTTAAGTTTAAAGTTAATAGAGTCGCACAACCTGAAAAGCATCTCTTAAAGTTAGTATTTTTCCAAAAGGTTTGATATAAATTAGATATTAGGTATAGAAAGCCTTAATGTGAAGCTATTATATTATATTAACATGAGTGTGTGTTTTGTCTCCTCTCCACAGACGTGTTGGTGGGCTCCCTGCTGGGCCTCTCCTTCTCCTGGCTGTGCTACAGACAGCACTACCCCCCCCTCCAGGACGCTGACTGCTACAGACCCCTGCGCCACAGAGAGACTGTTCCCACCGCACAGGAGCGCAAGCTGGCCAACTCCACCTACATCCTGCCCCTGTAAACAGCTGTAACTGTTTCTGGTGTCATTCATAACGGGTTACATGGTAATCTTTCTAACTCTGGTTTCCACACCTCGAGGGCTGGGCAGTTTATTCATATTTATCTTTTGGCATTGATCATTGTAACTGTATTGTGGGATTTGTTTTGAATGTTGGGACTTGGTTCTTTTTCTAAACTAAAATGACTAATGACACATTTCTTCTGAATGATTTCTGAAACACTGAATGATTCCTGAACACTTGCTGCACATAACAACTCCAGTTTAGCAACTACAATAACAACTTATTCCCAAACATAAATCAACATCATTAAAGTTATCACGAAGGAGGGCATGGTGGATATCATGATATTGATTGTTTCCCATCAGGCCTAGCCCACACACCCTATGCATTGTGCCTCTAGAAGACTTCACTTTAAAAACTCACAATAGCTGAGCAGGTCCAGGACACAAGCACTGCACGGATCGTTCACTGCCCGTTAACCTCCGAGCCGCTGCGAGGCACTTTCTCCTGATCTAGGGACAGTATTTGGTAATTGTTTTTGTAAACTTGAAACTTTTTCAACAAGCAACATTTAAAAGTCGTATTTTATTTTTTGTTTGTGCAAGGATATTCATTCCTGGCTTTTAGGAATCAATATATAGTGAAGAGAGTTGGCCCTCACCCGACAACACTTTTGATAACCGAATAATCTTTTAAGTATTCATCAACTAATGACGCCAAACACTTGGTGGCTGAATCTCCTTAGCTGTGAGGATTAGCAGCTTTTGTATTATTGCCTATTTAATTCAATACTGTATGACTGTTGGAAAAAACAAGCATTTGAAGCTCTGAAAGATTGTGGTATTTCCTCATTTTGCTCACATTTACCAGACTAAGTCATTAAATACCCAATGAATGTACAAAAAAAGTATAGGTAACATCAAATTAAAATAAATTATAAGCTTTAGCTCAACATAATCCGCTTGATTATTATAAGGGTCTTCGAAGTCTTCTCTGGCCGATGGAGCTGTTTCCCGACCAGAAGCACACTGTTTGCTAAGTCAGTGGAGGGGTGATGAATAGAGAAATAAAGACATCCTCTGAAACGACACACAGGTTACAGTCTTGCCGAAGTTCACAAACACTTGGGCTCGTGTGCCTGAATGATTACATTTTTGGTTATTTAATGCCACTTGAGTCAGTTCCACTCACAAATGAAGGCTGAGCTAATGTTGACAGTTGCACATAATTGAGAAGTGGACCTTGCAATTTAGATTCTGCACAATATAGTCATTTATTTGACCAATAACATCAATCTATCTATAAGTAGAGAAAGTTAAACCGAACTAAATAGTCTTATCATGGCATATGTAATTGCGACTTGTAATTTAATATCTCTAAAAGGCTCAGTAATTTGCCAAAACAGCTGTGCACAAGTTCTTAACAACAAGCATTATAGTGCATTTGTTGGGAACTATTTTCAGCTGAGGATTGATACAGATTTAGTCCAAGTTGGAATACAATCGAGGTCTATGGCACGATAAGTACAAGAACATTTGATGTTTTTTTTTTTTTTGCTTTGTTGACAACTAGAAGGAAAGCAAAACTAAAGTACACTGTATAGTGAAATAGCCATATTTATCTTTTATTAAAAGCACCTTCATATTAAACCAGGTTAATCAAAACCCCTCAGTCAGCTTTATATTGCAACATTGCTTTACTGTTTGTCTTGACTGCTTTAAATCTGTCTGTCTTCCTGCATTATATCGTGATTGTTTAAATTCACAGATTGTTAGATTATTACATGCAAAGGGTTCATATGCCCTCTCCTCAGAATAACACACTGATGTAGCAGCTCTGTTCCCTTCCTCTCAGTTTTTGCAGTGCTTGCTGTACTTGATTATAACATTTTTGCTCTAACTGGACAGCACATCTGCTCATACGGTTAAAGGGATATTTTGGATTGTTTAAAGTGGGGTTGTTCAGTATGTGGTTCTTTTTACAGTCATTGTAATACAGAGGGCAGCACGCGCCCCGAAATAGACAGGAGTACTGGCTTTGGAGCACGGCAATGTACTGCTGTGGACGGGTCAATACGTATGAGTATGTATTTTAGACACTTAAAAGAGAGGCCCACCTAAAAAATATTAATATCATTTTCAGATTGTTTCCTGATTGGGAACTGAAGACGCTAATGCTACCTCGATTGGTTAGTTTGTTTGTGCGGTTACTTTGGTATATGGGAAACAACGCTTTAATTCTTAAGTTACACTATAAAAAACAAACAAGCTGATTTAAACAGATGTAGACAAGAAACTCCTGGGTTCTGCAGAAGTAAAAGGCCTGTTTTTGCAAATAGAGTCTGATGGCGTTGGCAAGAACTCAATTTCAGTTTGTCTGTCAAAAAGCAAAGGCAAAGCATTAAGATTATCCCCCGAAAAAATCACCTAAACTGACACTGATATTAGGTTTTAAGTGGCTAAAATATATGTTGGGGAGTCTACTTTTGTTCATTGCTCTGCTCTCATGCCTTTACTCTTTGTATCCAAATTGCATGCTGATCACCAACTACTGTAGGTAATACACTGACTATGGATAAGTCAACCCCACTTGAAAAAGTCTCTCCCTTTAGAAAGGTCTCTGGCTTTCATCCCTTTCCTCTGCCAGTCTGAAGTGTGAGTGTTCACCAGAGGTGGAGAGAAGTGGTGATGTGGGGTCTGTTGTTGGAGTGGCGGTGAAAGCAGGCATTTCTGATGAGCCTAAATGAGGTCAGACTGTAACCTCTCCAGGTGATGGTGCTATAGCCTCCAGTGCTCCTGCTGGTCAGGCTTTCTATCCTGTTTTTATTGGCACCTAAAGTTTTCTGCTAGTTTTCTTTAACCATGTATGTTATGCTTACTTTTATGTGGTGTTTCTGTTGTATCTATCAATGTATTTGTAAGGTTGGTTTTCAATTGGAAATTCATCAAAATGTAATGTAGATTATGACAACATGAGAAACAACCACACCTCTTTATGTTTCTGTTTTAGTGTGAAAAGCAGCCAAAGGTTTTGCAGGGTCAAAGCCCTTCGTCGCTGTAAATCCAGATTGAAGCATCGGGATCACAGTGGTCTCAGACCAGACTTGGCAGAAAAAAAGTGATGAATTTGTGCCTTTGTTTACTAAATTATTTTGCTACGGGGAATGAAGTATATACTGCATGTATCAGTGTATGCTCTCTGTCATGTTGGGGACACAACTTTGTTTTAAATATGTGTTTGTTATTGTTTAACAGCGTACAGGAGTCAGTTGGGAAGACACTTTATGATGTTTAAATGTGGCATGCTGCCTTTCTTTACCTCAAAAAAACCTTTTAAGTTATTTCCACAAAGTGTTGATGGAATGAAATGTGAAGTATTCTGGTTGGAAAATGTCAAAAATACAAGAGAGTAGCCAAGAGAAAGAAAAACCTCATTTTTTGCAAACATTTTAGATGATAATATCTTTAATTACTTGGTCAATCTAGCAGGTGGTTATGAGATGATGTACAGGACTAAGTCTATTTAATTTTTGGGCATGCAGGAGTTTACTTGAATTTTCAATCTGCACTTAATGTTATTTCATGAGAGTATGAATCATATCTGTGGGCCTATTGCTCTAAGGGATCTTTCAGACAAAATAAATGTTCATTCAACTTTGCTGAATTTTGATGAATTCCTGCATGTTTTACAGTTGAGGAGCAACATTTACCTTCATTACTTACTTCCAGATCGCCACATTTCCATCTGTTTCTACAAATGTACTTACTTTTTGGTTTTTGTTTACTTTATCAGGTTGTTGACTATGTCCTTTAGATCTTCTGTCATGATAAGGGATGATGCTAAAACTTGCTCATCATAATTTGCCTTGGCTTTCAACTCGTACGGCTCGTGCTCATGCTGATACAGTATCCTGATTGTACATGTCGTGATGCTTTTAATGACTCTTTTGGTGACACTAAATAATGTTTTAAATACTCTTGCAACACACCCTGTACTTTGCTTATTTATTTTGACTCAGAAATGTGTGATGATTACAGGAACCTTCATAGTATAGGATTTTGAAAAGTTGGCCGGCATACCGCAACAAAAATAGTTTATTACAAACGTGCTCAGCAAATTATGATGCAGATATGGTACAGCTACAAAATGCAGAATGTTCAATTTTCTGTTGAGTTTTAATGCTGCAACGCTCTGAAGTAACTCTATTTACTGCAATGCATCTTGCTGTTGTTAGTCCTGTTTTGAAGTAAGACTCAATTGTTTTAACATTAATCTGTGGGATAATTTCTGCATAGAGTTGTGTTGCTAATACATATAAAAATGAACAACAAGGTAATGGATGCATTGGTTGGCAATGAACATCTTATTTCTCATTTATAATACAACTATTGCTAGTTCAAAACATGTTTATCAAAGAAAAAAATGATTCTAGTGATAAAATATTTGTCAAAAAATTGCAATAGTGCAAACTAAAATAAGGGATACCATTAATATAAGATAAAGAAAAATTGTATCTGCAAAAAAATTCAATGAAGAGAAAACTTGTGAATGTATAAATGGATATTCATACAGATACATAGGTGTAAATAAAACGTTAGTAGTATGAAGATTGAAGAATAAAGTATCCTAAAATAAAAGTATAATACAGACATCGATATCTGTCACAGATTGATGCCAACAATATTCCTTCAGTGACCCACTGTTTAATGACTTAACCATATAACCTCAGATGGTAAACAAACAAACACATAACACAACTCAAAGTGTTCGGACTTCGGACATCCCAACTTTTGCCAAAAATCAAATACTGTATAAAGAACACAATGGGCAGGCACTATAGTGTGTGTATGTGTGCATGTGTGTGTGTGTGTGTTTATTCTTTGTTTAGGTGGCATTTTTTTCTTCAGTGTGCGTGGCCTCTACGTATGACGTCGGTTCGTTAACTCCCAGTGATTGGCTGGAAGTGACGTGCCGATTTGGCGCCACATTTCCAACAAGGAACAGCACAGAAGAAAGCTCCGTGTCTCTGACAGCGAACCAACAATAACCCGCAGTTCATGTTCATTTAGCGTTATTTTACCCCGTTTTCTTGATCTTAAACCTTCTTAAGTTTTCAAAATGTTCATCACGGACATAAGAAAGGAGTTTTATGAAGTTGTTGCCAATCAGGTAAGTTGTTTAATCGCACTAACTAGCTAAGGTGAACCATGAAGGACTGTTTGCTAACATCAATTAGCGGATAGTTACTTCATTGTCAGTTTAGGCCCCATGTAATTATGTTGTACGACTTAAACATATCGTACATTGCTTTTCTTTCAGAGAGTGGCTCTCCTGGTGGCGTCAGACATCGACGCACTCTGCGCCTGTAAGATAATACAGGTAAGACAATATCATGCTAACTCTTAGCAAACATTAGCTCCTGTTACCTCTGTGCAGACTGGGCACACACTAAAATTATACTCCAATATCGCAATAAAGTTAGGTTTAGGTTGGATTTTGACAGACATTTACTCCTTCATTTACTCAGCAGTATCCTTTTTCTAACGGAGTCTCAGAGCCCTCGCTATAACCAAAGCGTTTCAACATAAATAAATGGCTAAAAACAAAACTACTGTTTTTTTCAATACCATGCGTCCTAACTTGCCTATATTAGTTAACATGTGTTGTCTTAGCTGGCACACCTTTTGGATAACGGAGGACAATAATTGATTTCACATATAATTTGAAGTGAAATATGATTCCAGTTGTATTAACATCCTCCATGGCATGTGACCCAGTAACTCCAAACGCATATCAGATATGATTTCTACACTGAACAAGTAGGACATGCCTCTATTTGTTTTCTATTTTGGCGCTTCTTGTATTTTACAGCAATAGTTTTATATAAATACTGCTGTTTGTTTTGGAAAGGTCTTGATCTGTCCACTAGCTTCCATGTCATGTGACCCATTGACTCCAAATAAGTGCAGATTTCTATTATTACACTGAGCAAGAAGGACACGCCTCTAATATCAAATAGGAGAACATTTTGGTCACATTACATGAAATGTAAACAAATTACATTTTCAATTGAAAACCTGCTGAATTATCTGGAAAAATATTTTTATAAAATACAGGGTGGAATAAAACGTGAGTCCTTTGTGATGTGTCATAACAGGACATCCACAATATTGAGAAAAACTGAAATGTACTAGTAAAAAATGCAGCCACAATTAACCACAGCCTAAAATGTCAGATTTAAAAAAAATGTTGTTTAACCAAAAGTTATAATCTCAATATTATGACAATTGCATTAACTTTATTAAAAGGCAAACTGGTTATCTAAACCAGGGGTTCCCAACCCCCGGTACCGGGCCGCGGAGGTGTTACTGCCGGGCCGCAAAATAGCTGTGAGTTTATCGTAATATTTGCAGAATTATAAATATATAAAAATATTTTATCATAATATTTTTTTCAAAAAGTGTTTAATGTTCGCACCTATACCAGTCATATTATTTCATCCAGTAGCCTAGTTAATCTTTCACCAGATAACCGTTGAAAATGGCTTTTATGATGTTCCGAGGGATTCGGCGGCTCAGCCTGGTCTCAGCCTCTTGTGTGCACGAGAAAGTTACCGGTGCGCCAAGTAGGAAGAGGAGCGCACAGGAGACAACCGTTTCATTGCAGACTGTTATGTTTATGTGGGGAAATGGCAGTGCATACATTATTTGAGATATATTTCAAACTCGGACTTCATTTTAAGGACATGTCGGCCAGGGGTGTAGAGCTATTTGTTTTATTAGCTTTTCTTTTTAATGACTGATTTTAAATGCCATTTTCTTAATGTCTTTCATTTGTTTGTAAAGCACTTTGAATTGCCTTGTGTTGAAAAGTGCTATATAAATAAACTTGCCTTGCCTTTGTTTAAGCACCGGATTGGCAAAACAGGAGAGTAAACCAGTCTGCCTTGATCTATGAATTCATGACTCTCACGGTATCTGCTGCCCGCAGCTGTTTTATAGAAGGAAAACCTCCTTCACTTCATGAAATGGCTGCAGCATCAGGAGGCAGCGGGACGTGTAACTCCGCTTCTGAGAAGTGCAGCACCAGCGCGCCGAGAGCTGTGCCTTTTTACGCACCGCCTTCGCTGTGTTTACCTTCATCAGAACAGCGAGTGACTGCAGGCTGCTATGTGTTAACCACACACACCTCTACACACATCTCTACACACATCGAACTGCCCGATGACTCCCCCTTTTATTAGTTTTATGAAGGAGATGTCTAGTCACCAAGGCGCATGATGTGTGTGTGCAGCTCTGCTCAGCTCAGCTCAGTGTTTGTGTCTGTCCGACACCGGCATTTGTTTTCAAATGACCATGAACAGTAATTTACACACATCTGGCTAACTCCATAGGTAGCCTATATGCGGGTGTTCCCAAAATAAATTAGTTTAATCTTAATCTCGATGTAGTGCTAAATGCTGTCGGACGTGCACCGGAACGAACGTTACTATCATAATATCTTCTGAAAACAAATGCCAGTGACACACACACACACACACACACACACACACACACCCCTCCTTCATAATGCGCCTTCACCTCGTTTTCCCATCACTGGATTATCCGTAAATCATACAAACCAAACCAAAACGTTGATTTACCTGTTTTCCCGTTTTGGTTTAAAAACTGAATAACGTCGTTTTTTTTGTTTTCCGATTTTCCGTTTTTCCGAAAAAACCAAACAACGACACCGGTTCTTTTTTAAACGTTGTTAATATGTTTTGGATGCATATTGTTCTATTATTTGTTCAGGCTGTTACATACAATTAGCCTCTGTTGCTACCTGCTGGTGAGTAAATATTAAAATCAGTTAAAATTGACAACCGGTCCGCGATTTTTTTTTAATGTATCTGCCGGTCCTTGGCACAATAAAGGTTGGGAACCCCTGCTCTAAACTCCATAATGTGAGAAGCTGAATCCTTGTTTATAATCTAGGGTGAGGCTCAAAGCTACTAAACTTGTGTTTATTAGTTTAGAAAACAACACTTAACTCTCCTTTATTGCCTGACACATCATTTAACTAATGTGTAGACATAAACATGTACAAGTGTGTGTGTGTGTGTGTGTGTGTATATATTTTTTTGTAAATATTTGCCACTTCATTTTTTGTCAGTTGTTTCAGCTGTTGTCACAGTCTTTGATACCAGGAAAAGATTAAACTATCATTTCTGAATCTTTTTGTCTCTTCAGGCGCTGTTCCACTGTGACCAGGTTCAGTACACACTTATTCCAGTAACAGCCTGGCAGGACCTTGGCACCGCCTTCCTTGAACACAAAGAGCAGGTATGAACTATTTAGATCTGTTCGTACATGTGAATAAATGACAGAAGGATAAACAAGGAAGAACTGTTGAGGTTTACCAAACTGTCACTCTGAACTAAATGTATTATTTTGTGTGTTGTAGTTCAAGTATTTTGTTCTCATCAACTGTGGGGCAAATGTTGACCTTCTTGAGATGCTTCAGCCCGATGATGACTCCGTCTTCTTCATCTGCGACACTCACCGGCCTGTAGATGTGGTCAATGTCTACAACGACAGCCAGGTGATGGACAATGATCAATTCAGCTTAAAGAAGCAAGCTTGGAAAATATCATTCAATAGTTCATTTTGAATTAGCTGCATCCATTTGTCTTTTATTAGCCTTTGCAGTAGTTAAATACATTCTGCTTAGCTGTGGAAGTTTGTGAGCAATAACACAAACCATCTCAGTGAAAACAGTGCTGCCATGTTTTACACTTCAGTCATTTCCCATTGTATAATCTTCTGTCATCTCATCCACAGATAAAGCTTCTAATCAAACAAGACGACGATCTTGGTGTGCCCTCATATGATGACATCTTTCGAGATGAAGAGGACGAGGAAGGAGCCGACTCTGGAAATGAGAGTGAAGACGGATCAGAGCCGTCTGGGAAACGAAGGAGATTTGACGAGGTACGAATTGGACCA